TTCCTAAGAGATTCAAAATGGTTTACAATGAGACTGTCTTGGGTATCCTTACAGTTAATAATACTAATTTCTCTTCATTTTATCTTTGGATACTCTGTTATGTTTAATCTCATTGTTCATCGATAGGACCATTTTATGAGGAAAGCCCGTGTCCTCTGTCAGTCCACCTAACTCACATCTGTGAGTGTACAGAGTGGCCCACCAGAAGCGATTCATGGTGAAGCCTGTTGGTAGGCCCTGGAGCTTCCTCCCGTAGTCAGAGAGACATGTCCACTTGGCCCGGGGAGCCATGCTGCGGAGAGCTCCTTCTCTGACGGTTTTCTGCTGTACAACTGGACCCCATTTAACTGCCCTATCGCAGCTGAATGTTCATTTTACTTTGGCAGGAGAGGCACTTTAAAACACACAAGAAGCATTTCCTTTCTTTCCCCCTGGTGTGCAAACATTTCAGTGCAAAGTCATCAGCAAAATCAGTTGTTGTTTCCAGAAACATATTTTAAAATAAAAAAAGGAACCTTCGAATCTTGACAAAGACAGTGGAAGTTAAAAAGGGGAATAGAGAGATTAAGTAAATGAAATGGAAGAAGAAATGAACGTCAACCTGTAATTGTTTTCTAGAGCTGTTAGAACAAGGTACCGTAGACTGGGTGGCTTGTAATGAAGAAATTTATTCTCTCATCCTTGGTTTGTAGATGACCATTCTCTACCTCTGTCTTCCCCTGACCTTCTCCCCACATGCGTGTGTGTTTGGATTTCCCTCTCCTTATCGGATTAAGGCCTACCAGTGATCAGATTAAGGCCCATCCCAATCCAATCTGTTCTCATCTTAATGAGATTACATTTGCAAAGACCCTATTTCCAAATGAGGTCATATTCATAGGTTTGAGGGTCAATTTGTTTAAGAGGAAATAAGGTCTAAACTCCAGAGAATGGCCACCACACTACACTGGCCATTCAGGTTTGACATTTGTAATTCAGGCCCTCCTTTGTTGGTTTTGAATTGCAGGTAAGTGTAGAGGGTCCATTGACCCGAGATGACAAGTGTCAGCCTAAGAGAAAACCACAGGCAAGTTCTCCAAAGGCTAATGAATGATATAATAATATAATAATGAACAATAAGGAATAATCTGGGAATAGCAGAATATTGAAATAGGAGTAGCAGAGCATTGTGATGGCATGTATGTGGGTGTTGAAGGAGATGGAGCCAAGGAGAAATTTTTAAAGACAAAAATTAGGAAGATTACATCAGATATCTTGAAGCAATCCTTGGCCATAAAAATATAAAACAAGAGTGGTATCCGTCCAAGGCTGAACAGACAGTTGCTGGGCAGATGTCCTCATAGAAGTACTATTTGTGCAGTGGTCTCTGTGTGAACTGGTGGTTCTGACAGAGTCTTTTGGGATAGTTACTCCCAGGCAGTCATGTGAAAGAGCCCTTCCTTTATAACCTCTGGCTTTAGTAACTATAATTATTTTGTTGTTGTTGGGGTTGACACAGGTGACTCCAGTTTGATTCCGACAGCTTTTGCATTTCTGTCTGGACTGCTTTCATCATCAAGGCTAGTTACAGATCTGGTTTTCCCAAATATAAGGTCTACCTTTATATATCAAAATATACCACATTAGTTTAGTCACTACACATAGCAGCATCATGTTCTTCCTGGGTTTGTGTCTGGAAAGAATAGTAAGGGAGACATATTCACCTAATTGAGCTAATCACCTAGATCAATACCTTGTATCATGTCAAATTCCAAAATCAACAGGAAAAATAAAATTCATTTGGGTGCTCATGCTCTTGATATGCCTCCCTACTATGTTTATATCCATAATAAAATTAGTGGGTCCTTTAAAATCTTCCACCCTTTGCCTGTGTGTATGTGATATAAAGAACTGAACATTTTCAAGTTCATTAGCAAATGTTGACTGAATTGTCCTATTGTTGACACAACTCTTTCTGCAAAATTGAATCAAATATGCTATTCAATTGGGTGTTTGGCATTCCATTTAGGGAATGGCAGAAGCTCCCAATTTAGTTCTCTCTATTCAGAACGTATTAGTCTCTTCTCATAGTTAGGAATTGTCCCCACCAGGTGTCCCTCAATAGATGCAATGGGGAATAAAGATCCAGTGCTCAACCAACAATAAAAAATAAAAAAAAAATAATAAAATAAAGATCCAGTGCTGCTCACCAATAGAGTTGAGTCAAATGGTAATTTGGAGGAAAGATTTCAGATATATAAGTGACAAGAAGCAGACAAATACAATGTCAATATTTACCTACATGGTCATGCTAACTATAGTGAAAACATTTAAATCCATGTCAAGAAAACAGTTTTACTCTGACTCAAGGATCAAGGCTTATGTTTTAATGTAGTTTCTGTTAGATGTTGATAAATAACTCTAATCAAGGGGATACTTCCATGCTTATGATGATGGACCTAGCTCTCCTTTATATTCTGCACCAGCAGAAAATGGTAACTTACTTTATCTTCTGGAAGTTCAGCAAATACCTCTTGTTTTGGGGGAGTTACCTCTTGCAATTTGCAGACTGTAGGACATGCCCAAAACCTTGGAATTCTAGGCTGGTTTAAATTAGGGTCTTCCTTTCTTTACATTCTTAGCCTGTTGCAGAGCACCTAATTTTTCTCTGCTTCTCATGTCAACACAAGTGAAAAACCTATCAGAAATCAAGCCAGTCAGTCTCACCTCGAAGAAAAGATTTTCAGGAATGTTTAATTTTCAGGGTGTGAAAGAGGAAGGGGATTAGCATGTTCTCAAGCAGCCTCAGCTGTAGATTGTGAGCCCTGGAAGTCTCCAGGGGAGTGTCCTTAGAAGCATCATCAGGAGAGGGGGTGCAGGCAGGGGTGGGGGGAGAGAGAGAGAGAGAGAGAGAGAGAGAGAGAGAGAGAGAGAGAGAAAGAGAACGCTAGCGCATGCTAGAAGCCAATAAGGGGTATGTGGAAGCATGGGGAAAACCCCTAAAGCTAGGGATCCAAGGAGTTGTGGCCTGATACATCCTGCGTCTTATTGTCTTTGATTTTTCCAGAAAAATCTGGCAATGAGAATAGAAGAATTGCAAACAATGTAGCATGCCTTTGCCAAGACATAAATACAGAAGAAACACTCGAATGGACTATGTACGGTATCAAATTATCTACAAAGATGAAGAAAGTAATGACTTACATTCTCCATCCCTTTGACTGAATAGATGACTCACCAAAGTGGAAAATGAAGCCATTGGAGATTAACGTTACCCTCAAAAAGAGGGCAAGAGGGATGGGACCTTGGAGGAGCCAAACCAGTTAGACAAGTTCACATGCAACCAGAACATCTGTGACGGGAAGTGGCAGCTAAATGTTTTGTGTTTCCTTGTGTTCTCTGGAATGTTCCACAAAGCATTGCTCACCACATTTCATCTGGGACACGGATATTTTAAGAGGGATCTAGGGCCTGCAGGGTATCACGTTAGGAGATGCAGATACTAACTCTGCTTGCACGCTGGGTTAGAACTTAGGTTAGGAAGCAGTGACCCTAACCCATGGACCCTTCTAGAGTCTCTGTGTTTTTTTATTTTTATTTTGAATGGTTTTATTGAGATAGAATTCACACATCATATAATCCACCCATTTGCATTTGGTTTTTCATTTATTTACTTGTTTAGAATCTGTCCTGTATAGTAACTACCGGCTCCATGAAGGTAGCAACCATGCATATTTTGACCATCAATGCACAGCAAGCACTTATCATAGTGCACAATGCAGCAACTAGTAACTAGATATTTCTAGTGAATAAAGAATGGATAAAGACAACAACTGGATTTCTAAGAATCAGAAACTGGCTTGGATAAGCCACTCGTTCTTGCATTTTTCTTAAAAATTCCAGGCAATTTTTAAAATTGGGAAGTATCAAAGAGAGAGAAAGCCTCATTTTTTTTTAGAAGAGAAGTACTCGAATACTCCAGACCTATGTTATTCTCCTAATGAATTCTCACTTGCTCCCATGCTAGGGTTTGACCCCAAGTCTGAGGAGAGAGGGCGAATGATGGGGTCGCTTCTTTGTGGGCTTACAAAGGCAGAAGATTTCAGTTGCGTGTCTGAGAAGGTGTTTGCTTTTGTGTCCTCATCCTCCTCACTGTTCACTTGGAATCCGTTCAACTCAGCATGTAATTCTTAAGTCCTGTGCTAAAGCCGTGGGGACAACAAAACATATGAGATGTAGGTCCTTCTTTTTAGTTTATAAATGGGACAGCAAAACTCATGTACTCAATATAGAGTGATATAGCGCAAGAGAAAAGGCAGCAGGAGGGGTAATGTTACAGGTCAGACTCTGGGTCTGGAAGGAATCGAGAGGAGGAAGGGATGAGTGTGAGCTGGAGGGTCAGGAGGTCCCTGCAGGCTGTGCAGAGCTGGTGCTGTGAACTGCATTCTGGGAGAGCAGAGCAAAGATGAGAAGGCACGTGCTGTGTTCAGGTCCCTGCAGGGGACTGGCCCTGCTGGCATGGGGAGTCCAGGGTAGGCCAGTGCCAGGGACTTTGTGATGGGTGTGGAGTCCTGGTGTACTTAGGTGGGAGGACTAGCACAACCAAAAGGTTTCTTTGACCTTGGCCTCTACAAGACCCCCATGTTCCTTCTCCCACCAGCTCCTCAGCCTTTTTTTTTTTCCCTTTCCAGGAAGGAATGGTGATAGATCTTGTCTTACCACTTCGTCAGCTCTCCATCATGGGTGGGGCCAACTAAGGCCTTATCCCATCTATCATTTGTATTAAATACTGAGTATCTCTATGCAAATGGTTTAAGATTATTTTTTTCTTCTTAATTGGAGGGCTTTTCTGGCTAGGGCAAATGAATATTGTGATCATCAATGAAGGATACACATTGTCAGTAATTTATTTTATTTGCAGTACTGAGGATTAAACCCAGGGTCTTCTACATGTTAGGCTTTTATTATTTTATTTTATCTGCAGTGCTGGAGATTAAACCCAGAGCCTCCTGCATGCTAGGCAAATGAGCTACATCCCCAGACCCTTGTCACTATTTTAAAAAGAAAGTGGCATATTTTGTGACAGTCAGCAGAAGTCCTTGGACACATTCAAACCTCAATGGAACATTAATTTATTCAGCGTAATATCACCCTTGGATTCTCACTTCATCTATCTTGGTGAACAGAGAGCGTTTAAAGTGAGTATGAGTTCACGGAAACACGTTGTCATAATATTTAAATCACTTCATATTTTAGATTTGCTCCCTACTATGAGTTATTCTCTTTAACTAGTTTCCCCCCACCTTTCTTCTTCTCTGTAGAAATCGCCATCTTCCTTGTTTCCATACCTGAACTATAAAAGTGTTGATAAAATTCTAACAGGTAGAGGGCGTTGAGAGTGCCCCGGGCTATGACAAAATCTTTTTTCTTCTTAATCAGAGAACTTTTTGCTCTTTCAGCCAAGGCAAAGTCAAGAGCCATGGTGTGTAGATGGTAAGTAGAGAAGCTTGGTGAATAAGAGCTGCTCGTGGTTAGCTGTCAGAGATTAGCTCTAAGATGTCTGCAGAATGCATTCTGAGGACTTCGAGTGCTATGAAATCAGGCAGTTATAAGAAACTTCACTGAACGTTGGACTCAAAAATTAATTTTTAGGGCTGTTAGCTTCCACCCCAGACTCACCCTTTTCTTAGACATCTGGCTTAAAATAACCTCTTCAGAGCTGCAATTCTCCAAGTTCTATTTCTCATTTCTCTCCGTGTGTGTGTGTGTGTGTGTGTGTGTATGTGTGTGTGTGTGTTGTCCCTACTGCTCTCTTCCCATCTCCCTTCCCTGCCTTTACTATGAATTTCCTATTTGGTTCATCTTGATCTTCTGATTTCCACTTTCTATTTCTCTTTGACTGGCCATCACTCCAAGAAAACCTTCTCAGAGCACGCCAAGCCATCTCCTCCTTCTCCTGTTCTTCTGCCACTCCTCACCCATCTTCTCTTTTCCTTGGCTTCAGCCCTGTTTCAGCTTTGTAGGCACCAGTGCAAGACTGGCCTCCTCCCCAAGGTTAGCGGTTGCTTTGGGATTTCCTCTCCCACTCTTGCTTCTTTCCAGCGCCATTTTTTTTCTCCATCATTGAGATTGGTTTGCTGTTGTTTATCTTCCCTCAACTCCATGTCCCTCAGCTGCAGAAGTTTGAGTTTCCTTGCCTCTTCTGAGTCTTTCTAGAATAAGAAAGACTTTCTACTATAAGAAAGATTCACAGAACTGCTTTACTGAGAAATTTTGATATGAAAAGTGTTCACATATTCAATATATACAATTTGATGAATTTAGACATGCATACACCCATGATATCATTGCCAAAGTCAAGGTAATAAATATATATTTTGACTCCCCCCATTTTGTGTGTGTGTGTGTGTGCGCACGTGCATGCGCACGTGTGGTAGGAACACTTAGGATGAGATCTACCCACTTAAATTTTTAATGTGTGTTGTTGACTATAGGCACCATGTTCTACAGCAGACCTCTAGAACTCGTTCATTCCACATAACTATAACTTTATGCCCATTAAACAATTCTCCATTTCTCCTTACTTCCACCCAGTGGTAACCATCATTCTATTTTCTACTTCCATAAATTTTGCTATTTTAGATACCTCATATAAGTGGAATCATGAGGTATTTGAATGACTTATTTCACTTAACATAGTGTCTTTGCCCATGTTCTATAAAGGCTGGACCATATCCCAGTATTATATATGGTGTGTTTACACAACATATTCATTACCTATTTGTCTAGTGATGAACATTTGGTTTGTTTCCATGTCTTGGCCATTTTGAGTAATGCTACAAGGAACATAGGACTGCTAATATCTTCAAAATCCTAATTAAGCCTGTTTTTTGTTTGTTTGTTTTGTTTTTTGGTAGTGGGGAGGGGAGGGTGGCAGAGAATATATACCCAGGAGTGAAAGACTTCTGTAGAGCCAAGGGAATAACCAACAAGGCAGAGGCAACCAGTGCAGTGGGAGAAAATATTTGTAAGTCATAGATAGGATAAAGCATTAAGCTCCAAAAGGGATAAAGAACTCTTTAACAACAGCAATGCAACAAAACCAACCAACCAACCAGCAACCAGATAAATAATGGGACAAAGAACGGAGAAATTGGAACACTGTCCACTGATAATGGAAATAGAAAATGATACTGCTGCTCTGGAAAGCAGTATGGAAGTTCCTTAAGATATTAAAAATAAAAGTATCATATGATCTAAAGCAGACTTTCTAAATGTGGATCCAAAACTTTCCAGAGCAACTGCTATGAATGAGGGTATTGCATTCCTTACCAAAATCTCATTCTGGGCTGGGGAAAAGCTCAATTGGTAGAGTGTTTGCCTCACATGCACAAAGCCTGGGTTCAATCCCCAGCACCACAAAACAAAACAACAAAGCCAAAATCTCATTCTTAGAGAAGGCATAGCTGTTACTTACTTTAAAAACTGAACCAGAGATTCAAAGACTATAAAGCTGAAAATGTTACTTAAATGGTAAAATGATAAAACTAATCTCTATTATAGGAATTTGGAACCCTAAGAGACCTCAGACATTATTCATTTAATCCAAATATTTGCAAACTTTTTCATTTTTTAGTGAAAATCTATTTTTTATTAAAGAAAATTTTACATAATGAATCAGTATCATCTCAGATTAAAATGGAACTGCCTTTGTTAGTTTCTCTGTGACTTTTAAACTTCTGTCACCTTTCCACCTGAGACTGGCAGGAGTTGCCCAGCCCTTTCAGTTCACAGGTGAGAAAACCGAGTCTCCAGATCATGGTGCTGAAGGAGAGGGCTCCAGACTCATTCCACAGTCCTCCTTTTCAAATGAGCAGAAATGTAGGCACACTCTGACTATAACTAGAGGGTTACAAAGTTATTTATCTCTCTCTCTCTCTATTTGATGAATTTAGACATGCATACACCCATGATATCTATCTATCTATCTATATCTATTAAAAATATATAAAATATATACACCCCCCCAGGTCCCCAGTGCTGGGGAATCAAGCCCACAACCTTGAACATGCCAGGTAAGTGCTCTACCACTGAGCTATATCCTCAGCCCTGAAAAGGGATACTGAAAGTAGATAAGCTAAGGTTTAGTATATCTACCATAAGACCAATTTAAAAGGATCATGTGGTTGGGTGTGCTGGTGCCCACCTATAATTCCAGTGACTCAGGAGACTGAGGCAAGAGAATCACAAATTCAAGGCCAGCCTTAGCAACTTAGCAAGACCCACAGCAAAAAGTAAAAGGGGCTGGGGATGTAGCTGAGTGGTAAAATGCCCTTGGGCTCAATCCACAGTACCTAATAATAATAATGATAATGATGATGATGATAAAAGGATCATGTTGAGCAATAAGAAACAATTAATTTAAAATGTCCTTGCTTTCTTAGTCTTCAGAAGGAATCTTGGGTTAATTTTTTGGGACTCATATCTACTTTGAAATCATCCAGAAAATTTCAAATGATTGATTCTTTTTCCTTTTGATAACTTTTCTCTAATAAACAAAGGCTTCTGAACGATTCTGTCCAGGAGAACTTGAAGGAAGTAATGAACCCTTATAGTGTTTGTGAGTGTTAGAAGAGGAGACTCCTGCCCTTCCACTCAAGCTCTTCCCAAGAACATGAACAGCTTCCCAAGAAACCTCCCCAGAAGAGCATCTGGAGAAAACAGAAGAGGGTTGAGGCCAACATCTGCCTTGGTCAACATCAGGGGATGGTGCCCCTCCATGGGCTGCCTGCCTTCTTAAACATCAGTGGAGGAAAATCTTTTGCACTCTCATCTCAGTTAGGAAACATACATTCATTCACTCACACATTCGTTCACCAGAAAATAGTTACCAATTGTACTATTGTATAAGAACTGTTTCCGGCTGGACACAGAGAATCTACATTCAAGCCCTGATACAGAGAATGAGAATGCTAAGCCAGAAACAAGACAGTTCATTTAAGATGGCAAGTACTGAATCACAAGGGTGGCACTTGTGTTTGCCTCTCTGCTGCTCTGTCAATAAGCAGAGGAAATTCTCTCTGCTTATCCTTTCCTAAGATTCATCTGGCCCAGGTGACTAGGGTAGACTAAAGGCGAGGCTTGGGAGTAGAAGCCTGGCTTCCTAAAATGTCTTCAAACATCTGCATGAACCAGCTCCTGGGCTATGGACCTGGGCATGTGGAAGGAACGACAAATGACTTATTTGACTTGTCCTTATCTCCCAGCACGCAGGGATGCTCTATTATTTCACTACCTTAGTCTTTTTAACCCCTTTCCTGCCGAACTGAACCCATTCCTGACTTGAAGTATCTTAGAGGGAGACAATCAGTCAATGTGCTGAGCAACAGCCTGTATAAAATATGTGGTTGTGTCTGCGGAGCTCTAAACTCAGCCTTGGAAACTGGAGGGACATTTGATACGCTCTCTGGGAGAGAAGATTCTATGGTGCTAAGAGTAGGATATTAGAATTCCCTCAGCAGAGAAAAAAATGTGCCCCTACACCTGTGAGGCAGAGTGGAAATTACTTACTGGCTTCCAAAAAACCCCACTTTGCAGTCAGTCGAACTCTTTACCTTAAAGAAACTGTCAGTTCTGATGTGTCTCCTTGAAGCCCACGTTCCTCTGTGGGTTGGAGCTATGACTCAGGATGCTTGTTCCAGCTCCAATGTGTAATTTAAATAGCATTTTTTTCTTGTCAGCGGCAAGCTTGCATGTTCATTGGGAGCCCAGGGGAGACGTGGACCCACAGAATGCCAAGAACAAAGGGGTGATGGAGATCCCAAACCTTTTTTAAACCACCTTGGTTCAACACCAGATTAGACCTACACATTTTGAGGTGTTGGAGAGGATTCTGCTGATAAGCTCCCAGATAAGGATAGGCAGTATACTATACACACAATAAATATCTCTCTTGGGTGGGGGTAGGGCAAGGGGAGAAAATGGACTTAAAATGAAACAAGATGGAGTATGCAGTTGAGGGAGAGGATGGGGCTGGAAGTTGAATCATTTAAAAAAAAAAACTCTTTAGGAACATTTACTTTATAAATACGTCAATATTCATCTTTTGGTGTGTCTTTGTATAAAGTCCTACTCTTCACATGTTATCTCAGGCACACTTTAAATGATAGCTTCATTTTATAAATGAGCTCTGATAGATTAAAAATGTTTACTTTGAAATTCTTGAAACTGACTCAGATTTGCTTTTAGGAGAGGCCCGAGAAGTGGGGAAAAAAAGCAGGCGGTGGGATGCAGGCCCTGCTCCCCGTCAGGGTATGTTCTGGAGAAACCTTGAGAAGGCTGATGCTGTCAGAGTCAGTGCAATTACTCACTGGAATAATGGACAGGTGAGAACCACAGAAGCCTTGTCCTTACCTGGGAGTCCGCGCAGTCATAGGCCGGTAACTGTGTCCTAGATTCTGAGGTTCAGTAGACATATGCTGTTAGTGGGCTTGTTTCTGCCGAAGCTAGAATGTCTCAATTCATTTTAGTCTCCACCTTTACCTTCTCTCTATGACGCTTCCTCAGTGGAAACTATTCTGCAAAACACCGCGGTAGACTGGTCTTGCTTGGGTGTGAGCCTGCTGTAGCTGTGAACTTTTTTGCAGGTGTGAAAGGTGAGCAGCTGCTGGAAGGCCATGTCCACTCTCAGCAGCTCCTCCCATGTCCAGGCCACAAGGCCTGGTGAGGAGAGAAGGGCAGGGATCAGCCTCCATTAGATTGGGGTGCGAGAGTCTCACAGACTCTTCCCAGCATGCTTCTGCACGGGGACAGTATGTGCCCACAACTCTCACAAGCTTGAGGCTCTGCCATAGTCTTTTCTTCCTGGACTGTGAGGTCCTGGTAGGCAGGGGCTGTGCTTTCTGTTTCTATTGTAGGCCCCTTTTATAGTTTGAATATGGAATGTCCCCCACCCCCAGGCTCATATTTGGGAAGTGATTGGGCATAGGGTTCTGACCTCATCAGTGAATGAATCCATTGATGGCTGAATGGTCTACTGGGAGGTGGAACCTGCTTGGAGAAATTAGGTCACTGGGGTCATGCCATGAAAGATTTATCTTTTCTCAGGCCTTTTCCTCTCTCTCTCTCTCTATTTCCCAGCTATCAGGAGCTAAACAGCTTTCCTCCACCTTGCTCTTCCACCATAATCCTCTGCCTGACCTCAGGCCCAAAGCAATGGAGCCAGCTTACAACAGACTGAAACCATGAGCCAAAATAAACATTTCCTCCTCTAAGTTGTTTTTCTCAGATATTTGTCACATCAGTGAAGAGCTGACTAACCATCCCCCCAACCCTCCAACCCCCCAACTCCCCTGGAGCTCAGTCTGGTGTTGGATGTCTGGCAGAGTCTTAGAACAAGTTCATCTGTATGAGCAGTATCAAGCACAAAAGGTATGCACCCCCAAACTGTTTTCTAACTCAGGCAATAGAGAAAACTATATTAGGGAAGGAAGGAATGTAAGGTCCTTTTTAAAGAAAAAAAGATCCCAGAACCAAATTGCCTTGGTCAAACTGTTTAACTTTGAGTAAGTTGTTCAATTACTTAGTGCCTCAGTTTCCTCATGAGCAAAATGGGAACAGTGATAGAATTAAATGGGAAAATATATGAAAAAGGCTAAGAAGAGGGATAACTGTTAAATAATTATTAGCTATAATTTTTATTCACACTGAGGTTTTGGGGTACTGGAGTCTTCCTTCATGTGTAGCATGAGGACACATAGCATACATATATGTTCCCTATTTTGTTCCAGAAATAATTTAAGATGGTACTTATGTCCTGGCTTAAAGGATACATTTCCAGAGGGCACCTATAATCATCTAGAGCTGGAGGACTGGTCCCATGACTCATCCCAATATACCAAAGTCATTTGGTCCAAACCAACCCATCCTCTTGTTCTCCAAAAAGTTTAAGTGTGTACAATACAGTGCCCAGGAAGCTGAGCCCTTTTATACAGTGTCATGAGGGTTTTCATACTGCTCAATTATAGGAAAAATTACCCGCTGGCTCAGGTCACTGGGAGAAAATTCCATGGCATGGAAATATAAAACCCTATTTCTTTTTTTTTTTTTTTTTTTTTTTTATTGTTGGCTGTTCAAAACATTACATAGTTCTTGATATATCATATTTCACAATTTGATTCAAGTGGGTTATGAGCTCCCATTTTTACCCCATATACAGATTGCAGAATCACATCAGTTACACATCCATTGATTTACATATTGCCATACTAGTGTCTGTTGTATTCTGCTGCCTTTCCTATCCTCTACTATCACCCCTCCCCTCCCCTCCCCTCCCCTCTTCTCTCTCTGCCCCCTCTACTGACATTCGTTTGTCCCCCTTGTATTATTTTTCCCCTTCCCCTCACTTCCTCTTGTATGTACTTTTGTATAACTCTGAGGGTCTCCTTCCGTTTCCATGCATTTTCCCTTCTCTCTCCCTTTCCCTCCCACCTCTCAT